ATTCTGAGAATTCTGAAGCAACGTCAGAATATTCATTTCTAATTTATCGTATTTCCAGTTTTATTGCAGTAAGAACAAGGAATACAATGATCTCGCAACTATTTTCTTCAATACTCAGGTTTTTAGAATTTCTGGAATCATTTACTTCATCCTTTACATATTGGTTTTCAGGTTGCCTCATGGGTCTCATTACAGATTTATTTTTTCTTTTGGTTGCAGGATGATGCAATTAGGAATTTGTTTAGTGCAAAAACAGTTCATGAGTATAGTGCCCAAAGTTTGTTGACCTTCTTGGTATTGCATTTGTTTACTTCACTCAACACTTGCTTTTTCCTCTTAAAGCATTGTATTCAGTTTTTAGAAGTTAATGACAAGGCTCCTCTATTTTGTATGTCATTTTAGCTCATGCACAGATACTCCCACTGGCAGTATGAAAATATATTTAGAATATTGTAAGGTCTTGTCGACAGAGCTTGCCTTCCCCAAAGAAATATTTCAAAGGACAAAAGATAACATACATAAGAAAGTATATATGCTCTTGGAAAATGAATCTAATCTCTAAAATAAGTATAGGGGCTTGGAGAACATTGAATATTTTCAATAAAAATGTAATTTGACTATGAATATTCCCAGAAGGAAGTTAGTTTTTCTTTTGTCATTACTCCCTTAAGGATTATTTGTGTAACTTTTTTTTCCCAATGCATTCCAGGTGATGTTTTATTCATTAGCAGTTGTGACATTTGGTACTGCCGTTCCAGCTGGTCAATTTGTTCCTGGGATCATGATAGGATCTACATATGGGCGTCTTGTGGGCAAGTTTGTGGTTAGCTTTTACAAGAAGCTCAACATTGAAGAGGGAACGTGAGTCTTGTGAATATTTATTAACAGAGATTTAAAACTAAATGTGCTTTTACAAGAAGCTCAACATTGAAGAGGTCGCACTTGGTGTGATGGCAAGTGCCTTCGCCCATGAGCGGTAGGTCTCGGGTTCGAGACTTGGGAGCAGCCTCTCCATAAATGGGGGTAAGGCTAGCCGACATTCACCTCTCCCAGACCCTGCGTAAAGCGGGAGCCTTGTGCACTGGGTACGACCTTTTAATGCATGTAATGTATTCATGAACTTTCCTCTCATGCTTACTGGTTCTGCAGATATGCTCTACTGGGAGCAGCTTCTTTTCTTGGAGGTTCAATGCGGATGACAGTGTCTCTGTGCGTCATTATGGTTGAAATCACAAATAATTTGAAATTATTGCCTCTTATCATGCTTGTCCTTCTTATTTCAAAGGTACACTTCTGAAACTTTTATTATATTAGTAGATGCTTTGGAGAAATACTTACACCTTTTACATTTGCAGGCTGTTGGTGATGCTTTCAATGAAGGCCTGTACGAAGAACAGGCGCGATTAAAGAGCATTCCATTACTGGAATCAAGACCCAAGTACCAAATGAGGAAGATGACTGCAAAAGAGGCATCTGGAAAAAGGGTGAATGCCATTATTAAATTTCAAATCTCTTTATTAAGATTGTAGACAAGGGCATGTGTTTGGTGCTGACATGGACAATAGATAACTTTTCATGGCTGACCCCTTACATGTAAACATCAGTACAGAGTCATATGTTCAAATGTGCCTAGAGATGTTCACTTGTCTAGAACTTGCATACCTGATCCATCTCACTTCTGATGCCTATCTCAAGTACGAGGAGCCTCCTTAAACTGTAAAGGTTATGCCCAAATTGATTTGTCTGGATCCTTTGGTAAAAGGGTTCTGCTTCATAGCACTATAGATGACTGAATTGGACGTTAGGGAGCCTTTTGTTCAGTTCTCACCCAAATATGGAAACATCCAAATGAAGGCAGAAAAGAAAAAAAGTTGAAAGACTACCTTCTCTTATTACTTAAAAGGGGATGCCTATTCCCCCAAATAACTTCAGCAGGCACTATTTCTGGTATCAAACACCTTTTTTTGCCTGTGGTTGCATTTTCCATTTTAATTGTACATGGTGTGAGTGCCTTGTGCTTCAATGATTTCACAATGCATGGACTTATTTGTTCTTTTACTTTTATTTCAATAGTAAGCTTACTGTGCTCAATTTTCTGTCTCTGTAGGTGATTTCCTTCCCTCGTGTTGTTAAGGTTGCAGATGTGGTTTCTATTTTGCGGAGCAACAATCATAATGGCTTCCCTGTATGCTTTACTTTGTTTTTTCCTCTCTTAACCTCTCTCATTCTTTTTGCTTGATATATAAGTGTGTGTTTCATTTTGTATCCCCTCCAGGTGATTGATCATGCAAGAAATGGGGAAACACTTGTAATTGGACTAATGCTTCGTAGGTATGGTATTTCTAATTTCTCCATTTAAGTCTGATTTCGTTTTTTGAAGCAGACAATGCAAATGTTTTAAAACATTAACGTGAGTATATGAATTGTGATGCAGTCACTTGTTGGTACTTCTGCAGTCGAAGGTGGATTTCCAACATAGTCCTTTACCCTGTGATCCAAGAGGATCCAGGTCTATCAGGCAAGTCGAGGCTTGAAATTTTTTTGTATTCTGGCCCTCACCTTTTACTAGAAGATGTTTGACAGTTCCCTTTATATTCCAGGCATACCATCAGTGAATTTGTGAAACCTGCTTCCAGTAAAGGCTTATCGATGAATGATGTACATCTGAGTTCAGATGACTTAGAAATGTACATAGATCTTGCCCCATTTTTGAACCCATCTCCTTACATTGTCCCTGAGGATATGTCTTTGACAAAGGTGATAATTTCGCTGCCATTCATTTAAGGCTTTTCTTGCATGGCATGTAGTTCTAACTGAAATTTATATTGTTCTTTATGATGGTGCAGGTATATAATCTTTTCCGACAACTAGGTCTGAGGCATATATTTGTTGTTCCCCGTCCATCTCGTGTGCTTGGCTTGATTACCAGGAAGGATTTATTGCTTGAGGTATTGCCATCCATCCTCTTAATGCATTCTACCAGCACTAGACCGCAAATATTGACTTATGTTAGTTTTTCTTGCAGGAGTATGAGGATCCAGCTTCGGTGGAGCTCCAATCGACTAGTGTAAGGTCTCTATGATGCTTTGCTTATGCCAAATCTATCAAAATAGTTAGATGTGTGCATTAGTTAATCCTCATTATGATGGCAAGCTTGTGGCATTTTATATGGTCTTCAAATACAAATTTGGTTCCGTTGTATAAAGTGATCATGTCACAACGTCGCCTTTCTTTTTCATCTTTTTTGATGTGTGGGTAGCCTGCAAAATTTATTAGAAAGATGCCAATGTGCATCCAAGAGAGAAGATTTGTACGAGTGACAAGGTTGTGAGACTCAAGTTTCTCAAATATATAGCATGCCCATCCAGAAAGTGAACACTTTTTCAAGTCCTGGGTTTGTTTTTGGCACCTAGAATACAGTGATGCATAGATGTATATGCCTGAGAAATATGTGTTCTGCAGACCAGATAAATAAAGAAGTTTTCGTTCTTTTATATATGTCAACTTGGGAGGAGACTACATGGCACATTGAATATGTTTGAACCGAATATACTGGGGTTACAATGGTCTCTTTCGATGTGGATTTTAGTCCATGGATTATTCATGAATTATTTTCTTCCAGTTCAATTGATATTTATCATTTCTTTAAAGGCTTATGTCAGTGAGATGATTCAATTTTCTCCTTTTTCCCACTTCACTGTGCCTCTTTTGTGAGAGGTTTTGACCGTACGGCACTTGCTTTTGCATAGAGTGGATAGAAAGTAAGCCAATTAGCACTTGCTTTCGTTGTAAACAACTTTGTTGCTTTACTTGCCAAATATAGCACCTATGATGTGAAAACAAATCTCTTGCCCGAACATGCATTTTACCTTTTCTATTGACAAATTTTTAATCTTCTTCATAATTCTCTGATGGCAGAACTCAGCATCGAGATAGAAGAAAGGTTGGAAGGAATGGAGATATGGAGCGCCCACTTCTCACTAGTCTTCTGGTCTAACATCATGTGTCCGGCTGATAATAAGGTCTGATCATCCATGAGGACTTAATTCTTTAGAGCTTCCTCCATTCTTTGAACCTAAAATCTTATTCTTTCTCTGTAAGTTTACCTTAGGATCTAGGACTTTAGAATGCATCAATATGCTTCCCCTCGCACCGAGGGTAAACGGATCACACCCACCTGAATTTTGTAGCATGTATATCTGGATGATAATATACGGCAGATTAATGCAGACATAGAGGTTAAGTCTGGGACGCTGAATAAATGACGGGTTACACAGGAATTTGCAAGAATGGGAAGGATGCGACCCAATGTACTTGTACTGATTTTAGTGTTGCCGAGAAAATGATTTAGTGAGAAATTAATCAACATTAGTTTTGATAGTCTTACAGATGATGTTTACTTAAAAGGAATTTCTGAGCTCTTACAGTTTTGACGCATTCTTGCAGAAGCAATAGCATATCAGCATATCAGCATATCAGCATATCAGCATCTGCTACTTTTGAATGATGTTCCAGTTGACACAAATAGAGTGCAACGGAACACGTTTTAATTTACCATTACATTCTTGCATTTATTTGTCTTCCATTCCAAGAGAGTTGATATTCGGGAATTCGTACCCCTGGCTTAGGACTTGGAACCCTAGGTTCAGGACCCAGAACCAAAACTTAAACTCCCGGATTCGGGGTTCTAGTGTGATGGATCAAATTGAAATCGATCTTGACCGCAAGCAATGCGTTATACATCTGTTATAATTCATCCCTTCCTTTAGCTTCTTCTCCTTTTAATATGTTTGCTAGTCGTGGAAAACCTTTCTTTTTCCGGATTTGTAACCTTACTTTAATGTATTGCTTCTTATTAGTTACCGACCGATGTGGTATTGTGAACAGCTTCTTATTGTTAAAATTAAGTGTGAACTAATATACCGTCCGAAAAGAGTTCATATAACACGGTGAAAATGTTTACCTCAGCTGTATGATTGATCTGAGCCAAAAATTGATGATTATTTATGCCAATCTTCCAACATTTTGGTAATATCCGAAATTTATTCCAAGGTTTTGTAAGCTATATATGTAATGTCTGTATATCAAGTACGAAAATCACTACTAACCCATCTCAAAAGAGCAGTAAAAAGACTCAAATTACTGCCCGATATGTATAAAACCAATAATCTTGAGTGACTAAGCGAGACCAGAAACAACAAGTGTTAATCCCAGCAGCCCAAAATTTCCCTTCAGAGATTGTAATGGAGCAGCGATGCTTGGACCTGGCGTCGGTGCGTGAGGAGCAGGAACTGTTGGGGGGGCCAATGCCGAAGGAGTTGGAGCTGCCGACGAAGGATGGCGCATGGCGTTGATGTCGACCTTCTGGCCGGCCTGGCAGTGACCGGGGACCCCGCACATGTAGAAGTAATGGCCTCTGGTGGTGATGGTGATTGTGTCATTTCCGGTGGTGTAGGAGTCGAGGGGGAGTGAGGCGTTGCATGACCGATACATGGCGTGCGTAACGCGGATCACGTTGTGGAGTTGGGGGTTGTATTCGAATCCTGATTGATCCCACATAACATAAGACATTCAAAACAAGGTTTTAAAAGTTTGCAAAACATGTGATGTGTCATCAATATAAAATAAATACGTTAATCAACACTTAAGTAATAATTCAATCATAAAAATCACATCATATGATTTACAAAATTTAATCTATGTAGTTAGTTGCCGTAGCATTACCCCTCAAATCCTTCATCTTCTGGAAAACCATCGTGATAGATCGGATCAAGAGATGGATATTCTAATGCCAAACATCCATAGTGGACAATAATTTAATTTCCAATGGGATTGCAGAGAGCACGCGTGCGTTAGAAAGAGATCCATCACCCTTCCCTTTTTTCACTTTTTCTAATAACCAATAATGGCCTCCATGATCATCATCATTCACTTAGAGACCCTTTTGAAATTAATCACTAAATTATTTACATTATCAAAATGTTGCATATAATTGTTTTCCTAAGATCGTGAAAAATTTGAAAACTATCATACGCAATCGGTAACACTTAAAAACATTCATTACCGAGAGATGAATGACAATCAGGAGAAATTGTTTCGCATATGCATGTTATTTTTCTATTTGTTTTTAGTTTTTAAATTAATAAATTAAAAAAGCACTAAGGAACAAAAATAAGTATACTATAAAGGTCGTACCCAGTGCACAAGGCTCCCGCTTTACGCAGGGTCTGGGAGAGGTGAATGTCGGCTAGCCTTACCCCCATTTATGGAGAGGCTGCTCCCAAGTCTCGAACCCGAGACCTACCGCTCATGGGCGAAGGCACTTGCCATCGCACCAAGTATACTATACAATAGAAAAATGAGTGCGAAAATTATTTTCCAAAATTACGTTCAAAATCATGCTGAAAAAGAGAAACTATAAACTGGGAGATAATAACTCACTGATAACATCACCAAGTTGGAAAGTTTTAGAAGCAGCCCATTGTTTGTAGTTGACATTTCCGAAGGTGGTCCACCCGGCGGAGTCTCCGACCTTGTACACAGCTGCACTGGACATCTCCAAAACAGCCGTCACCGCCGCCGCTAGAGCCAAGACTCTGACCACCAAAGCCATGGCTCTGCTACCTAGAAAATTTCAACTCTTGGAGACTCTGAGATCCTAATAAGCTTGTAGATTTTGGATTGTGTAGAATGGAATTATGGAATGCAGTGAGGGACTCTCAAGGGGGACCTCCTGTTGTTGGTATTTGTGAAGCTTTTGGATGGGGATGGCAGGTTGGCTGTTGGAAACCTTAAGCAGGAGAATTAATTTGTCAAGGTTCTTTGGGGTTTAATTGCAGTCAGTGGGGAAGTAAACGATTGTGGCTCAATATAGTAGCGTTGGTCCGGTCGTTGAGTTGGGTTGTTTGAGAATGCAATTTTGATTGGTAGGGTTTAAATAAACTTTGGCCTGACTAGCTTCACGATTGCGTATGCTGTCTTGTATTTTGAATCTCACAAGCAGATAGCACATGTTGACACGAAAATTAAAATTAAATTGTAAGTTGACCGATAAGATTGGATTGTCCTTTGGCACAGGAGAAATAGCTGGAAGCTAGAGAGTAGCTACCTAGCTATGCCTGGATTTGGCTTAAAGGACCTATTATTTGCATTCTCCTGTTAGTCCCTATTATTCTTATTCTAATCCTATCATTTTGGGAGAGTTGAAATGGACATGTTTTCTTCTTGAGTATCCATCACCTACCTTCAAGTTGATCACAAACTTTTCATGTCTTCGTTGAAACATACCTAAACTAGTATTTTATGCATTCAAATCTAATCTTTTATACAAAACAAGGTGAAAGTTCTAGGATGGGTACTAGTTTAACCTATAACGAAGGTGAATCGATTCCAACTTAAAAACTCAATGTCAATTTTAGCTCTAATATTAATTCCATATCCACATCACACATATATAAGAATAATAAACAAAAATAAAAATGTGCAAACCGAGGTAGGATTTAACAAAGCAAAACCTACCACCGGGCTCCTAAGCCAGAACAAACACACTAAGAGAAATGAGTATAGAAAGACTTACAAAACTCATCAACTAAACATACATATACTAGTTGACAATTTTGTCTCCGCGCTTTGTTACTCCATCTCTCTTCAGCCTTCGAGTAGAAGTAGCATGACACTAACGCGGCGATCAATCACCTTATTCTCGAACTTTGTAAGATACCAACGCAATTATGTAGAATGTATGTATGATTAAATAATCTTTAAAAATCAAACAATAATAAAAATCACAAGCCACATTTTCATAATCAATTTTGATATAAAACAAAATAAAAACCAGTGAAGAAAAAAAATTGAATTTTGTCTTTTAGAACTCCACGGCTGAAAACTGTCTTTCTCACACTAGCACACTGAAGTAAGATCAAACTGTATTGCTCTCTGTGCCTATTAGCCTATGTGACAAGAACCAAATATGAAATACATATATATATATATTCATGCACCACGAAATGACTACAGTATCTATGAAGTACTCACAGCGGCAGCCGTGCAATCTTTCCCTCTATGCTCCTCTCGATGCATGTGTAATTTAAAGCATCCGTCCCTCAGTAAAGGAAAATGACAAAGATGTCATATTTTTAAATCAAATTTTGTAATTAAATTAAAATATGTTGATAGTTGCAATTCATTTTTAATGATTTAAAGAAAAAATTCAACCACCAACTGCCACATTATATGGTCGACAAATATGATATACAATATGAACTACAAAATGTCTCTCTAACATCACCGCTCACTAAAACCTCACTCGTGCATAAGCGGCAGCAGCCAAAAACCATAATCTAATGCATATATATAGGCTTCACTAAGACTCCTATCTCAATAGAAACATGACTCTCTTTTCTTGATCTTTAACAAACTTAATCAGCAAGTGAAGTGATGCATGAAACGGGTTAAGAACAAAAAACCATTTGACATTATAACCACGTTTTAAATGCACCGCAAAGAAGTTATAATGCGTGAGAATCAATTATCATGTAAAAGCAAATTTAATCTTAATAAGCACAGCAGCCCACGGCAACCATAATCCCAAAAAGGAATGATACGGTAAGGTGACCAAATTTTTAAACAAATTTGTAAATCAAATGATGCGGTGGTTTATGATTGAATTATTATTCAAATGTTGATTAACGTGTTTATTTTCTATTGGTTATACCTTATTTAGTTTGTAAATTTAACTTAAATTTGGTCTTCCTAGCATTATTCATAATAAAAACAATATGGTTTATTTATAAAGTTGAGACCATAACCGATTCAAATCCAAAATATGATATTACTCAAAATAGATAATTTGACATGCCTCAAATTATCTATATGAGTGCATATAAATGTCTCTAAAACACTTGACATTCTTGTGACCAAGAGCAGCAGCAACAACAACAACAAAAACTTATCCTATTAAGTCGGGTTGATTGTTTGAATCCTACAATGCCTCTGCGCTTGATTTTGCACCAAGGCATCCGTCAGCTTCTCCAAATACTGCATGTCTTTTCTTAGTGTCTATTTCCAAGCCTTCCTAGGTCTTTCTCTGCCCTTTTTACCTTGAGCCTTTGTCACATAATTCCATTTTGTAACCGAAACATCTATAGGACTTCGGTTCACATGTCCAAACCCTCTTAATTGATTTTCTCTCATCTTATCTTCAATTGCAGCCACTCCTACTTTACATCGGATATCCTCGTCCTTAATCTCGTTTTTCATGTGTGCTCACACATCTAACGAAGCATCTTCATCTCCGTTAGACTCATTTTTTGCTCATGCTGATGCTTGACCACCCATCATTTTGTACCATAAAGCATTGATGGCCTTATTGCCATCCTATATACATTATGTGCCATAAAGCATTGCTAGCCTTATTGTTCTCCTATACAATTTTTCCTTGAGTTTTAGTGGCATACATCAGTCGCACAACACACCTGATGCACTCTTCCACTTCATCTATCCAGCTTGTATTTTATGGTTGAGATCTCCATTTAATTTTCCAGTCTTTTGTAAGAGATCCAAGATAACAAAAGTGCTCACTATTTGGTAATTCCTGATTTTTAATAGTCACCCTTATCTCATTTGGACCTTCATTCCTACTGAACACGCGCTCTATAAACACCGTCTTGGACCTACTTAGGTGAAGACTTTGAGATTTCAACACTTCCCGGTAAAGGTTAAGCTTCACATTTACTCCCTCCTGCATTTCATCTATCAACAATTTATAATTTGCGAGAAACATAATATGTCTCGTTAACTCATCCACTACTAATGCAAAAAGGTAAGGACTTAAAGCTGAGCCTTGGTGTAACCCTATGGTCATGGGAAAACTTTCAGCTTGACCTTCGTGAGTTCTTACTGCAATCTTTATCCATCATACATATCCTTTATTGCTTGGATATATACTACTTGAACACCTTTCTTCTTTAGAATCCTCCAAAGAATTTCTCTTGAGACCTCATATCATACGCTTTTTCTAGATCTATAAAGATCATGTGCAAATCCTTTTGCATAACTCTATACCGTTCCATCAATCTACGTAATAGATGAATTGTTTCCATAGTCCACCGCCCAAGCTTGAAACCAAATTGATTGTCTAAAACCCGTGTCTTTTGCCTCCATCTATGCTCAATTAATCTCTCCCAAATCTTCATTATACGACTTTTTAACTTAATATTCATATAGTTCATGCAATTTTGTATGTCGCCGTTATTCATGTAGATAGGCACCAAATTACTTTTTTTGCCACTTATTGCCATCTTCTTTGTTTTCAAAATTTTATTGAAAATGTTTGTGAGCCATGGTATGCCTGTCTTCTCCAAGACCTTCCACACTGTTTTTCAGTGCTTCATCTTGTTCAAAGTTACAATCACTTCCTCTTTCCTGATTCAATGGTAAAATGAGTAATTTCTACACTCTTCTGAGTTACTCAACTACCCAAAGAAGTACTTATTTCATGTCTTTCATTGAAAAGATTATGAAAATAAACTCTCTATCTGTCTTTAACAGCATTTTCCATAGTTAGAACATTTCCTTTCTCATCATTGATGCACCTTACTTGGTTCAAGTTTCTTGTCTTCCTTTCCCTTGATCCAGCCAATTTATAGATATCAAATTCTCCTTTATAGATATCAAATTCTCCTTCTTTGGTATCTAATCACTTATACATATTGTCAATAGCCGCTAGCTTCGCTTCTCTCATGACTTTCTTCACCTCCTTCTTTGCTACTTTGTACCTCTTAGTTTTCATCAGTTCTATCCTTGCATAAGGCTTTACAATATTCATTCTTAGCCTTAACCTTTTCCCATATCTCCTCCTTTCACCACCAAGATTTGTTTTGATGTGGAGCAAAACCCTTAGACCCTCATTATACCCGTTTTTGCAACTTTTTGGATACAACTAGTCATGGAATCCCACATTTGATTAGTGTTTCTCTCTATATTCTCAACATATTGGCGCGAGTACTTCCTCTTGACTTGATTTTCTCCTTTTAGATTCCACCATCTAGTTCTTGGACACTTTAAGGTCTTGTTTTTTCTTCCATCTCTTTTGATATGTACATTCATCACTAATGGGCGATATTGGTTAGCCATTCTCTCTCCCGATATAACTTTGGAATCCTTACAAGTTATATGATCACCCTTCTACACTAAAAAAAATCTATTTGTGTTTTTGATAACACAATCTTGTAGGTTATCACATGCTCTTCTATCTTCTTAACGAAGGCATTAGCTAGAAATAGAGCGTATGCCATTGCAAAATCCAAAATGGCTTCCCCCTCCTCGTTTCTCTCCCTAAGACCATGACCACCATGGAAATCTTTGTAGTTACTTGTCTTCTTTTACATGTCCTGGGTAAAGTTGATGTCAGCAGATACTTCCAAACAACTTTGAGTGGAGTCATTTAAAAAGAAGTTTTTACAACAACCTTACTCGTTTAACTTTGCATCCAGGCATTAATGGAGATATAACGATGCTTACTCATTTATCATTGTGTCTAGGCCACACAACGCGTCACTTCCGGGTAACGACCTAGCTTTAACGCAATTATTGTTTAGGTTTCATTATCATAAGGATTCGACGTGAAAACCGAATGCCGGCTGTTCACTACCTGACTCCATCCCTTCCTCCTTTATCTGGCCTTGGGATTAACCGAGATTAAAATAATTACAAAAAAAAAAAACACAAGCTAGTCCAAGATATTACAATCGATGTTTTATTCGGAATTGCCAATTTTACTCTAACACAAGGCTTTAGAGCTTTTCCCCTTTTTACGTGAGAAATGACTTAATTAACTAACCATATAGTTTTAATTGTATTCAAACTTTTTACCTTGTTCCTTTTGCTTGAGACTCCCTTGAGAACAAGTTGAGCCCATCTTAATACTGTAAGATTATGAGTATGAAACATATGATAAAATTGGTCATATTGTTTGAGATTGATATGGAAAAGTCTTGGTTAAAAGCTATTAGTTATCCTAATTGTTTTGTGATAACATAATTGAGTATAGTTCAATTCTTTTGGGATTAGAATTTAGTGCTGGAACTATAATTAGACTTATAGTTCTTTATGGTTGTATAGTTTGAATCCTAGGCTGATTCTGATAGGGAATAGTCAGAGGAATACTATATATAGTTC